GTGTTCGACAAACGCGGCGGTGTTCCTTGAATTTATTTTTCTCATAACAGCTAAAATAAAATCATCTTTTAAAACTGAAAAAGGTACGTTTTCGTGTAAAGTAGGCTCACTCACAATAGGTTAACGACAAAGACGTTTTCCTGCTCATGAGCGAAATACTCACTGCACATATGTTTGGGCATTTTCCCCTAAGTTAACACATAGCCGAGTGGTAGAACTTACGGTTAGAACATGATAATGACATGGGTTCGAAAGCCCGATTCAACGTGGATACTGTAGTTAATATTTTTTTATTTAGGTATTTATGCAGAAAGATTTGTCTAGTTCTAAAACTGTTACACCATTTAGTTTTTTTTTTTTTTGGCTTGTATTTATAAAAAATATATATATATTTCCATTTTACACTAAGGAGGAACAAAATAGTATCCAACAGAATGACTTCTTTACACTCTATAATAATACCAATCGTAATTTCAAAAGCAGTTCCGTAAAAAAAGAAAAATAAAATACGAGGAGTTCTTTCCAAAACGCTAATAAAATCCATTTCAATAGTTTCAGGAAAACTACATTTTTTTACCAAGACCCACACATTTTGTGAATATTCAAATAAATGTTTTATTGGTTCAGTCTGAACATGTTGAACAATGACTATTAAATCAAACAACAATATTGTTAATGATAAATTAAAAGTTTTTTTTCAAACGCTACTATAAATCCATCAATTTTTTTTTGTAAAAATAAGGTTTGTCTTTAAAAGAAAAGAAGAAAAAAAAAAACAGAGAAATGCAACATAATCAGGGGCTCATGCTATAAATTAATATAAATTTAAATTTAGCTAAAACAACCTGAAAAAAGTAATGATAGTAATTTTATGTAAAATTTGTAATAGCCTACATTCAGAGTCATTTTTAGTGAAGTGTCAAACCTGAAAAAAAATAGTATATTTCTGCATGAAAACTAATTATTAAATGATCAATATGATAATGAATTCAAAAGTAGGATGGGCCCCCTCCAGCACATGCACAAGCATACACCACATGCATGTCTGTATAAGGCTACATAGAATGTGAGCAAAGCGGAGCGGCGTGACGCTTAAATATAAGTAAAAAAAAAAAAAAAACATAGGCTACGTTTCACATTTATGTTTAATAATATTATGTTACTTATTTTTATTATTTCGTCTATGTTGAGGCTATATAAAAAGTGAACCGCATGAGATGAGTAAGATAGGATCAAAGCTACCCAATATATCGGAAAAATATTTGAGTGGGTCAGACATGATTTTGACCACCAATTAAGTTGTTTTGTAGAAAGCTTGTAAATTTCGTTTCGGATAATTCTATCTTCATTGTAATAAATGTTTCATCAACAAATTGACTGGATTAACCACATTAGAAGTAAATATCGGACAATATAATCAGGACACAGAGGCGCGATATGAACTAGAAAGCTTTAAATGTCTACTTTTAAACAAAACATTTAAAAACGAAAAATAAATTGGCAACCTCTCTGCGTAAGTAGGCTAATTCGAATGCGTTTAGGCCTAATGCGCGTTTCACTGTGAAGGCGAGTCAGCATTATCAACTTTATCTTTGCTGCTGACAGACAGATAACACTAGTTTAGTTTAGAGCAGCATGTTTGCAACAATAACACAATCAACAGAATGTAAGCCCTGTGTGTGTGTGCATGTCAGTTGTGTGTGTGTCCGTCACACGTTAAATGTTTTCGAATGTAACACAACATTCAAATGCAAATATGCGGCCTCCCCCACTTGAAAGCCTGTGTGTCCACCAAAGCGTTTTTTCACACGCCTGGCGTTTTCAATTGTTTTCAATGGGAGCGCCGCGTTTTTTTTAACGCC